CTACCTTTTACCAGCCTGTGTAGGTCCCTCACATACATCTGAGGGGTCTGAGAAAGAGAACTAAGGAGAGCAAGCGGAATGCCAGTCCTCTGAGCAGGGACCTGTATCACCACAGGAGCAGAAAACAGAAGTTCATGAGCAAAGGAGGAGGAAATCTCCTGCTGGGTCTCAACTCAGATTCATCCTGGTTTTACGTGCTGTTGCTGGCACGATACCCACAAACCAGAGACTGTCTGCCATGACACACTGGGTGTGCATGTTGCCATCTGAAGGGAGGGAAGGGGAAGGGGAAGCGAAACGAGATTGACATGACGAGATGAGATGAGATGAGATGAGATGAGATGAGATGAGATGAGATGAGATGAGATGAGATAGAAGTATATTCTTTACCAGAAAGTCTTCCAACTAGTCCCCGCCCAGCTCAGATACATTCTTAAACTGATCTGTTCCTGTTGCCAGCTGTTGCTTTGACTGTGCATCCTTTCTGTACTCCAGAGTGATCTTGTCCTGATCTTTCTCCACAGTGGCTGTGGAGAGTTCATGGAGAAAAAGGGCTCTTCCTCCCATGCTACAAGCTAGCTCCAAACTGTTCTGCTCTGAAAAATCTCCAAGGTGTAGCAATCAGCATCACATCCACAAACTTCGTGTTGGAGCAACTGGCCTTTCACCCAACAGGATGGTGCGCACAGTGGTACTATGAGGTGGCAGCAGGAGAAGCTGCAGGGAACACCAGCATTTAAGGAGAAACAGGGTGGTCATAACAAATGACTGGGTGCCAGCAACTTAACTCATGGAAAAGGACGTGAAAGCAGGCACTAGGAAAAATCTTGGCTAGGATGGTAACTGCTCTTTGATTTTTTATAAGCTTTGATTCATCTGTTTGTTTTTATGAGGCAATCTGAAAATAATGGCCCTGATTCAGGAGATCTTTTAAACCAGCAGTAAAACACACATTCAGCAGGTGACTTTAGCATATAAAGAAATAGAAGCACCTGCTTAGGTGCTGCCCTGGGCTGTGATGAACTTAAGCATGCACTTAAGTGCTTTTTTGGATCATACCCAGTAGAGATACAGGGTAGTGTTCAGCCTTGGCAGTGTCTTTAAGAGTTTTCAAATGCCTTACTCTGTTAAGTTTTCCCTCAATCTCCTTGTATTTTAGGAATCTTCAATATCTTAACTTTAAAAGACCCTGAATTACTAAGAAGTGCAGGCTTTCATCAGTAAGGTTTGTTCGGACATTCTAGACGCAAGTCTGCCCGGGAACAATTGGTACTTTTTCATAATATCCATTATTGTCCTTTTCTTTGAATTAGATGCCACAAACAACTGAAAAAAACATGCAGAGATTAATACAGACATAGTGCACATCTGTAAGTGATGATTTGCATATGCTCGCACCGTGCTTGTAATTCTCTGAAAATATCTGAAATGCTCTGTAGTATCCTGGTTTATAACATATCCTTCGCCACAGTTTACACATCAAGAATGCATGCTGAAAACAGGAAACACACATGCGGAGGGTAGGTAAAAGGGGATTACAGTATACATATATTCGACAGAAGAGTCCCAGTTTAGAAGTATCATAAGCATCAGGCTTGCATAAACAAATCAGTGCTTAACCCACAGATGTATCTAATGACCATATGGATTCTGCATGTTTACAACTGGAAAAACCCCTCTGAGCTTTTCTATTGTTTGCTGACTTTCACCCTATAGAATTAATTTTGTTTGTGAAAATCAGGTTGTTCACTGGGATATAGAAAGTTCTTAAAAGGAAATAGAGTTATATACACCGCAGGACAAGACGTATGGGCCCCGTTCTCTGCTGCCGTGGAGTTCCCACATACTCGGTGAGTTACGAGGCATGCAACCAAATGTACAACTGTATTTCTCAAACCAATTTATTGCTTTTATACAATATTTCTCTTAGATTTCTCCCCTAACAGTTGGCTCGGAGACTGCAAACTTCACGATCCTCCCAGCCTGAGGCAGCTGCAGAGCTTCATCGGTGCCTGAAATCCCCCTTTCCCCGGGAGCAAAGCGCACAAGCCCACGCCGGTGCAGCAGGCAGGCAGCCCTGAAGCCCCGCCGACCTCCACCTTGCAGGCTCTTACTTGGCACGTCTGCCGAGCGAGGTAAAATGCCACCACCGCAGAGCAAGCAAAGCCTGCCAGCCTGGGGACCCTCTGCAGTCCCTAGGCTCAGCTCGGGGTGGGGGGGGCAGTGAGGTATGGAGCGACGAGAAAGGGGCCCACTCGTGTGCAACGGGTGTCCGTGCTTCCAGCCGTGGCTGTAGGCAGCAGCCCTGCTCAGCGTTTCAGTGCTGACGGCAGGAAGGGCTTTAGCCAAATGGTTGCTTAAACCAAACTCTAATAAGGTACGGCACGTTGTATTTCTTTACGTCTTGACAACTGCTCATTCCAGGCACCGCAAAAACATCTCACTGCTGATGGCGGGGGAAGGAATGCTTTAGGCTACCAAAGTCCGCTTACCGAGGGCTTTTCGCCCCCTCTTCCCCGAGGAGATCCGCGAGCAGCAGGCTGGGTGGGAGCGGGAGAAAGTCGCAGACTTTGGGCTGTGCCGGGTGGGCTGGCCTCGGGGCAGGACGTCTGCCAGGAGAGAGGTTCTCCCGGCCGGAGACCGACATCCCCGTCCTCCGGGCCGGGGCAGAGCACCCCCTCCGGCGCAGGCCCCCGCCACGGAGCCTTTGCTCCACAGAGACCCTCGGGGCCCGCCGTCGGGGCAAGGCGGCAGCGCCGCAGCGGGCGGCCTCCTCGCCCCGCTCCCCGCGGGGCCGGCGGCCGCCTCCGCACCCTCCCTCGCCCCCTCCGCACCGTGCGATCGCACCGCGGCACAGCGCGCAAGTTCCGCGGGACGGGAGGTCCCCACCGCCGTGCACACGGCAAAGCCGGCCTCGGCCGAGGGCGGTTTGACACTTGTCCCGGTGTAGCGCCCGGGAGCCCCGCGGTCTCCCGACGTGGGGCCGGGAGCTCCCGGGAGGGGGGAGCCGGGGCACGGCGGCGGCTGAAGGGCAAAAGCCCCCCCCGGGGGGGGTGTCGGTGCTCCCTCCCTCGCGAGGGGAAGGCGAGGGGGAGGCACCCGTCGGGCTGGCTGCGGTGGTGGTGCCCGTCGGGGCGGGCTGCCGGCGGTGCGGCGGGCAGGGCGGCCGGCTCGCTCCGCTCCCTGCTGCCCGGGGGCAGCCCCGCGGCCGGGGACCGCGGGCAGGGGCCGCGGGCGCAGGGGTGGCGGGGGTTGCGCGCCTGTGGGAGACGCGGGAGAGACCAGCCCGCTGAGGTCGTTGTGTGCTTAATTGCTTTCTCCGTTTATAGAAACTAATTGGGGCGATGTTTTACGGGGATCCGAGTCGGGGGGGGGGTGGGGTGCTGAGCGGGTGTCGCATCGGCGGTGTCCCCCGGAGCCCGCCTAGCGCCTCGCCTCCGGCCGCCGATGCCTGTTCGTCAAACCTTGGCATTTCCTGAACCGGTACATTAAAAACAAAACAAAAAAATTCCACCCCAATAAATCTGAGTGAAGTAGGTGATGATTTAGTCACCAAGAAACACCAGCGGAATCAGGTGCCAGATCGACGGGCGGTCACTGTTTTCCTTAAAAAAAAAAAAAAAGAAAAAAAAAGAAAAATAATTTAAGTAAGCCCTCGGTGTGCAGCCCGAGTCCTTTGCAGCCCCGGCCGGTGTGGAGCCGGCCCGCGGGTGCACTCGCTGCCGAGCGGCACCTCTGCCCTGCGCGCACCGGCAGCGCTCCCCGAGCCGGCGGCCGTCGGGAGCCGTCGGGGCGCCTGCCTAACCAGGCTGCGGGGGTGCCCGGCACCGGGGACTCCGCTCCCGGCCCCTTTCCTCGGCATAGCCCCTGTCACGAGCCGGAGCCGGCCCCGGTACCCCCGCGGGTCGGTGCTGCACAGCACCGGCCGCGCCGACTCCGCTCCCGGCCGCGCCGACTCCGCTCCCGGCCGCCCCTTCTCCCTCCGGCGCCGGCTCTGGGCGCGGCCCCGGCTCCCACCGAAGATTTCGCCCCGTTCGTTTTAACGGGGGTGAACCTCCCAGCGACCGCAGCCGCCCGCTGCTGAGGCTGAGCCGCTTTCCCGCGCGCATGGCGCACCGCGGCCGCGCGCGCTGCTGCGGAGC